GTTGCTGGATGACCTTGAGCTAATGAGCCCTCCTCCTCCCCTCCCTCCCCCCTCCCCCTCCCCCCTCCTCTTCTCAATCAGATTGTTTTCATTTAGGATTCAGCTGAAGGAAGACTGTGTAATGAACTCTTGCTGGTGGTTCTCCTTGTGCTACCTGATTGGAAAAGATTCAATAAGGAAAAAAAAAAAAAGCCATCAGCTGCTTCTTAACTATGTCTTAACTATGAGTCCAAAAGAGCCATTTACACAAAAGGAAAGAATTCACTGTAAAGAGAATGTGGATTCCTTTTGTCTTGTGACACAGAGTGAGTCCCCACCTCTCCTCTCCACTGAAGGGGAGTTTTTTTTTTGTTTTTTTTTTTCACAAAAGGTGATCCCCTTTCTGTTGCATCTTGATGTGATGGGTAATTCAGAATCTGCTGGCATCTGTACAGTTAAACCCTGTGGATATCATAAAGGGCACAACAGTCTCTGAAAGTAACCATTGTACCTCTGTGACATCTATGAACTGAAAGCCGTTTCTTTGAAGAATAAAGCCAGTCTGAAGGAAGCATATTATTTTGCATACTTTATGTATACACTTCCCAAGAAATATGATCTTTATTTCCTATTTGGAGTGGAGTGTAATCAGGATTTGAGTAGCTAGTGTAACAGGATCATTAAAAGGAATATCTTCCCTGACATTAGAGGTCTAAATGGCCACACGGCCTCATATACAACCTTGGCTTTTTCCTGTCTACTCAGAGTTAATAAGTGATAAGGCTGGGAGAGAGATAAATCACAGAAATCCCTGTCCAAAGAAAACATATTGACTACAGCCAAGCAAATAACAGACCATAACCAATGGTCCCATTCATCATTCAAGTAATAGGGACATAAAGTATTTCCTATCCCTGAAACCGTATAGAAGGAAAAGGCAGATAGGCCTGCCCCAACCTAAGGCATGCGATTTGGTTATTAAAGGACATGAACTATTTGTCACATGGCTTTAATCTTTAAGATGTGTGGCCATTTCTAAACTATAAATTTCTGGTAAAGGATTAGAAAGCTATTAACAGAACAGGTAGGACCCAAGGTTTGTGTGCATTCTTGCCAGTGTAATGCAATACGATAAAACCTCCAACTGCTAATCTTTTGAGTATGATATAACCTGATTTGCTTTTCAAAGCCAATAAAGTGTTTGGAAGTTGTCAAGGATATTTTTTCTTTTTGGTTAATTTTTTTGCAAACTCCGCATAGTGATAAATTAACCTTTCAGCTTTTAAACTATGCATCTGGAAATTTCTCCAGCATCTCGGGGTGAGTGAAACGAAGGCAACTGCATGTCTTTTCCCCCTTTCCCTAAGATTTATTCCTAGTGCTTACAGAAGGCTATTTTCTGTTCTGCTTGTCCGTGTTTGCAGCAGTGTGGATGCCGGGCCTCTGTTGTTTAAGCTAACTATGAGAGGGATGCCCACTGGAGCATGAAAATATGTTTTCCTTTCTCTTCACTGCAAAACATCTCATGCTTATGTTAGTGTAGGAAGCACCAATTAAAAGTAAGTAAAATAATATTAAAATTGCCCACATTCCAACTAGTTTTTTAAGTATAAACATTCAATAATAGTGAACCAGTAAAATTATTTTAATGACATATATCTTGTAGTCTTTTTTCCTATGAATGTGTCTACCTCATTACCAAAATATCCTTGTGTAATATTACGAGAGTCCTTTTTGTTTTTTGTTTTTTGTCATTTAGTAATATATCAGAAAGATCAGAGCATTATGAATTTAAAACAATCTCTAATCTTTGATCATTTCAGGCCTCAGGAGAAATCTATAATGGGATGCATCCTAGTCTTCCTGCTAAAGGTAGACAGCTTGAATTTGGATTCTCATCTCTATTTCTGAAAAATCTACAACCCAGTGTCAATAGTCCTACACCTGGATGCACTGGGGTCAGTCAGCATGCTAAGATTGACACATTGGCTAGAATTCATCAGTTACTGTAGGTATGTGGCCCCAAGGACCCACTGTTCTTGGAGGTTGGGAACAGTTCTCTAAAGCACATGCAGTTACAATATGATGTCTGTGTTAAATCTGCACAACCTCCAGGACCAGTGAATTCTCTGGATCTTTCCTGGTCACTTAAAGTACTACTATGTGTTTGTTAGTATAAATGGAACTCATCTAAACCCCTCACCTTATCTGCAACTTCAACTCAGAATCAACACTAACCAGGTTAAGCGAGGTTCCTCCTGCCCGCCCACCACCAGAACAGCAGCACCTCTGGTGAGGACTTAGCATTGCCTGTTTCTTTTCTTGCTCTACTGGTTTTCTGTACTCCAGGGCTTCCAACAATTTCTGTTTTATCCTGGTGTTCCTTTAGATTCTACATTCTTTCCACTAACTGTCTTTCCCTCACTAACTAAACTTTCCTTCTCTTTACATTGCTAAAATGTAAAGGGCATCTGTCTCCCCCGATCCCCCGCCACCCCACCAAATATGCAGAAGGCAGCCTCCATTTTTAGCCTATTTATAAGACAAGAAAACTGACAAGGTGAGGTGATTCCCCAGGGTTTTTTCAGATAGGAAGCAGAGGAAGGATTTAAACCCCATTGAGAGACAATACAGCACACACTGGGTTAACCATTTAGGAAGCTGCTTGACCTTGATAACCCAAAGTTCCGATTCCCTGAAATTGGGTTGTTGGTGAGGGAAAAAAAATAGATATCTATAGGAAATATGAGTCTTAAATACTTTAACCACAGTATATCATTGTGAAAACATTGGCAAATTCATATAGGAGACTTAGAAATACAAAAAAGGATGAAAATATTGTCAGTCATTATTCAGTCCCTTAGAGAAAAATGCTGTGACTATGTTTTAAGTGATTCTACTTTTGTGTACTCTTAGGTATGTTAAGCACAGGGGCTCATCATGTTTTTGCATCCTGTTTCATAGTTTAAATGAAAAAATTACCACTTCTCTTAGTTCAAACTCTTCCTGAATATTTTTAGTGGGTATATAATAGTCCATTCTATGGCTACATCATTGTTATTTACTTAATCGTTCTCCTATCATTGGAAAGTACATGTGTTTCTTTCACAGAACTCATAATATGTGCTAGAATATAGCATGATAGTGAATATAAAGTGTTCCATGCTTTCCTAATGAAATTTAAAAGTTTCAGGGTTGAATTAAACACATTAAGTTTATAGATGCCAATGAATTATCAAATACATACATTTGACATATTTAGTTGTGCATATGTATTTTAAATCACACGCTATACAGTATTTATGAATGTAACTTTTTCTGGTTTTAAAATTTCTACTTTTGTTCAAGCTACTTAAAGTCATTTCTATTATCAGTGTTTTTTAAAATCAAAGCCAGAGACATTAATTATAGAGAAGAATGAATTTCAGAGCCAGGTACATTGATACATGCCTGTCATTGCAGAACAAAGAAGGCTAAGGTAGAAGGCTCAAAAGCGCAAGGCCAAAAGTGGGTTACTGAGTGGGATCCCATCAGCTCAGTTAAACAAGGGCCCAAAGGCGAGGTGAGAAATAGGTGTCGGGCCAGTGCTAGACTGAGAACTATTTGATACTGGTTGCTGTTGGGTGAGGGAGAGTATGACTTACAAAAGACCACTGGATGGGCTGACTAGACTCCAGTGGACACATTTACACTGAAGGACATTTGGGTGAATAGGACTCAGCATGTATGGCAGAGTGCATAGGGTTTGGTGGGTGGATGGGGGAGGCATGGATGGTGGAGGGGGTCTGTATTTGAGTGGGAAATGGATGAAATTTAAAAAGCTCAATAAAAAAAGGAAAGAAAAAGGTGAGGGGCAGGGTGTGTTTCCTTATGACATTTTCATATATGCATATAATACACTTTTATTGTATTCGACTTGCCACTGTCCCCACTAATCCCCCCAATGTCCCTCTTGTCATCTATGGTAGTCCTTCTCTTTTCATGTCCTGTTTTCAGTTGCACATGTGAAAGAAAACATGTGATGATGGTCTAAGTCCATTGGAGCCTTTTCTAATCCCATTATATTGTCTTCAAGCATCGTCACTGCTTGGGATATGATCCTTCTTGAGTCTGTGCATGATAGTATCACCAGAAATGTCATCCTACACCATGCCTAGCCATCAGCTATATTTAAATGTCTAAATATAACTACTCTCAGCAGAATTTTTAAGCAGCATTTAAAAGTCTTTGCCTAGGGATATAGCTCAGTGGTAGAGTGCTGGCCTAGCATGCACAAAGACCAAGTTTTGACCCCCAGCACCACAAGATCAATCAATCAATCAATGGATCAACTAAAATAACAGAGGCTTTTAAAGGAACATTTTCAATAGCGAGACCAGTTGCCTTGAAAAACTTGACGCTCTGTTCGAACTTGCCATGACTAACTTTCTCATCTCTATGGTATGTTAAACCACCATTAATTATTGTTGTTTTATATCTGTACTCAAAGATAATGTAATTGAGAAAGTATCTTGTCGCAGGAGAAACTAACCTTTTTCAACTATATAGTGAGGAGTCACTACCTAACTTCAGTGCATTGATATTTCTTTCCTTCATTGACTCATCTGACATATGTGATTCCTGTTATGAACTGAATGGTCTAAGCCACATAGTATTTTCAACTTGAATAGGATATGTTCTCAATCTTCAGTGGGCCTCATATTATTCAAGGCACTGAAAGTGCAGGTGGTTACCACACACTAATATAAAGCTTGAGATTTCTGTAACATCGCTCAATGGTAAGATGTAGACAGAGGCTGGGAATCCCTGAATCACGGGCAGAAACAAAAACAGAAGAGCAGACTTCCCCTTGTAGCTCCCACTCTTTGACCTCGCACATATAATCATGCACCTTTTTCCTGTTAACATCAACTGTGGTTAACTTCTTTACATCATGAGGTGGAAGGCCTGGCCTGGTGGACTGAGCCCCCTGGGATTAACTTCAGCGGTTAGCATCAGGAAGCACCAAGTCTTAGTGAATATGGAGCTAATTTAGAGCTTTGTTTAATGTCAAAAATACATTGCCATTTAACTCTCTACACAAAGTATGACCTCTGTAGTCATCACACACACACACACACACACACACACACAGGTGTTTTATTTCCTTCAGCTCTAACCGATTTCTTGAGCAGTCCTGCAGGCCAGGATGGCTTCTCAAAGGTGTCAGGAAGTTTGGGTGAATGACTATCTCTGGAGAAGCTGTTTTGAGCAGGCTTATATCTTGTACTGCTTTAATTTCCTGAACACTGGAGAAATGAAATGTATTGTACTGAACTTAGCTCAGAGTGTATAAGAGGATCATCTAAAGGCTTGGAATTTTCACTGAATAATATTACTAACAACAAAGGAAAACAAATCTGCAACTTGTCAGAATATTGTATGTCAGGGGCCGAAGAACACACCTGTGTGTTGAGCCTCTGTGTGTCACAATTGCCTTCCACTGATATTGCTCCCCCTTTCGTCTTCTAAGGAGATAATACACTAATTGGAAAGGGGCTTCTAGAGTCTCAGCCTTCCCAGCCCTGGCACTTTGGTTACGTGTTGTGTTTTTATTGGATTCATTGCACCTATAGCAGTTCATATGATCTGGGTGGCATATGCTCATGTCTCACAGTGGAATGCAAGCTCCAGGAAGGCAGGTTCTTGTCTGTCTTGTTCACTACCATGTTCTCAAGTGCCTAGTACAGACTGGGACATGATAAGCATGAGGCAAGTCAAATGGATGAAGGCATGAAGGAAAGATGAAAAATGTGGCCATAAATTTATGAAATTATAAGCCTGAAAGATAAGCTAGTTAGCCAACTGGTTGGCTACTTGATAGATGACATAAGCTAGGTTTATAGAGTTTTAAAGACTTAACTGAAGTCACTCAGCTAGTAGTTTTTTAATATCTTGTTCCTCCTCTTCTGCCTGTCTTCTAGGAGGCTGTTTCCTTACTATGCCATGTCCCTTAGACTCCCTTAACATTTGGTTATTAAGAAACTGGTCCAAATCCTTGCAAGTTTCTTAACCAGCCTAAGACTCCATTTCTTTATCTGGAAAATTGGAATGATCTTTCTAGGATGACTGAGAATTCAGTAAGGCACATGAAAAGCTTACCATAGTGTGCAGTATATAATAAGTACTCAATTAATGGGAGACCTCATCCAGAAAGAATCCATAAGGAACATTAAGGGAGTGAAAAGATTGTAAGAGCCAGGGGGAAGATGTGCAGCAAATAAATGTATTCTGGACATGACACAGCCATTGCACTCATGGACTCTCTGCAGCTGTGGTTATCTACCTAAGACCTGCACAAGATTGGGCTCATCAACATTTCATCATGGATGAGGAAAGGGCCCTGTGAGGTTCCAGCCCTCCCAAAAGGACTATTGGAAACTAACACTTGTTAGGGAAGGTGGTGTCATTTTCTTCAGTGATATAACCGCAGATAAGTTGCTCCTGCTCTGTTGAATAATCTCCTACTCATGCCCAGGTGAGTAACTAATTAAACCAGTGACCACACACAGTAAGAGGGAGGACTTGCTAAGAAGTGTGTCAGCAGGAGAGGGAGGGGAATGAGGGGTGAAAATGACTCAAGTTCATTGAATAAATGTATACATTAAAAAAGAAAAACTATGAGAACAGAGTTCAGTGATCTGTGTTACAGAGATAGAAAGGTCCCCAGAGACGGCCTGGACCAGTCCTGACAATTGCAAAGGAATTGTCTGAGGCTCAGATAAAGGCAGAGCCTTTTCCAAACTAATATAGGATTGATAATGCATACAAAACAGAATCATATATAAGATTTTTCTGTTCTGTCAGTGGATTCCTAAATATTCGAATATTTAAAGTCATCGACTTTTTGAATGTATGTGTGCATCATTTACCCTGTGTCATTGTGGCCATTGGATAGCCACTCTTTAATATCTAAGGACACCAGTCTTTGAGCAAACTTTGAAGCAGAACTTAGGGTCATCTAGATGCTTGATGCTTTGGGCCTTCCAATTTGTAATCTATTTGCAGAAAGGGTACCACAGATTTTGTTTTGACCTGTTTACATCCTTGTCTTTCTGTTGACAAAAGGAAAGGGAGACTTTCTTTACCCCTGAGTAAATTAAAGTCCTGTGAAAGAGCCAAGTGGTGTTTTCAGTGTGGGCAAAGCACAGTCACACAGGTGAAGGGTGTTTCTTTCGCCCTGTCTTCAGTGGAAGTCCTTACAACAGCAGATTATCTGCCACATGCTCTTGGGAGACCTAACTAGGACCGAAGGGTGATTTTTCTCAAGGCCTAATCAGAGAAGGACCAGGTAGTGTTCTCAGAAACATTCCATCCCTGTTACATCTCCTAATCCAATGCTGGTGATATTGCTGGTCCACAATCTGTGTGGACCCTCCATCCTCCCTTTAAGTCTCATCCCCTGGTGGTCATGGAGGATAAGAAGCAATAGCTTGTGCTGTGTTTAGTGAGCTTAGTGGACCTAGAGGCAGAATCGTCAGGAGCAATGGTAATATAATGGTAAAAATATTTCAGGATGATCATAATCAGACCCAAGATTAAAACCTGCCTGAAAAGAGAACCCTGCTGCATCCCAGCTCCATAGGCTGTTCCAGTTACTGCTGGATGGCAAGGCAGCTGACTGACAGGGTGAACATGGATGAGGGTGTGAACTCTAGGCAGATTGTGATGCAGTGAGAGATGAGGTCCGTATCCCCATGTTGGTGGCATGTCCCAATGCTAAAATTAAAAAAAAAAAAATCAAGATTGTACAAGAAATTTCTGCTCTAATTTCTAATGGGCCTCCTTTAGAATTCAAATAAAAGAAAATATTATTTTGGGCATTCCTAAAAGGACGGTCAGTTATTGGTGAAAAACAAACAAAATAAATAAATAAATAGGGCCAGTTGTCCATTGATGCTAAATATAATGAGTAAAAAGTAAAATATATTCATTCCAATTTCCCAACAGCAGCTAATTAAGGGCAGCTCATTTAAAAACAGACCTAATTTAATCCACTAATATAAGTATTCAATTAAAGTTGTTCCCACTGCTTTCTGCTCCTCAGAAAACTTCTTGGTACACTTACATATGATACATTCATAGTGTGACGCCTTCTAAGGGTCCAGGTGGTAATGGAAAAGTGCTTTCAGGACTTCATAATTGCCCAAATTAAATAATATGTATGTAAATGGAGATTTGAGTGTAAATTGTGCACTGCGATACTATAAGAAATTGAGCCCCTATAGCCCGAGATCTTTCACCCAATCAGAAGGACGTACTTCTCATTTTATTCTGTTCCACTCAGAATAGTTTATTGCATTATTAAGTACATGTTAAAAGAAGCACGTTGTTGTTTAAGACTCATTGATTTAGGCAGAACTATTCTTATAAAGTTCCATAGGCTTTTACATAAAAAGAGAGGAGCCCATATAAAATTATAAAACCTTAATGTAATATAACAATCTATAATATAATAGTCTCCCATTTTCTAAAGAACCCACCAAATATTTTTAATGAGTTTATTAGAACTACTGTTTGTGAATTCTGGAATGTCATGTCTAATTAGACTTAATGGATTCAAGGGTTTCTTTAATGGAATCTGCAGCTTAACTCACCAGGATTACATTCCAGGTTCTTCTGCCCTTACAATGATCTTTATTTTTATTTGGGGTGGCATTAAAAAGAAATGAAAGACATGATTCTGCCTCATTCTCAGATGGATCTAGTGAAAAACAGTGCTTATTATGAAGTTAATGTGAATTACCATGTAATTACCACTGGCTGCACTGTAATGATTATTTAGTTACCACCGAGCATTCTCTGCCAAATAACACACATTATTTCATAGGAAGCATAGAATTAACTCAAGTCATCCTGGAATTCATGGAAGGGAGTATATTCCCCATGTCTTCAGTGAAGTGTAGACACTGCTAATGTTAACATCTAGATAATTAAGCTTGGAGCAAACCAACAGCAGAATAGGATACGAATTTACCTGATTTGATTTGGAGATGTTTTAAACACTTAGCAACAGACAGCTATAGAAGCCAATTAAATCTCTCCAAGGTGCATAGAGTAATCTCCTTTGTGAGAAATGATTTAAGGAGATTGCATTGGCCCTGTAACTGGAGGGGAGAGAAAGCATTAGGAATGAAATTTCAGATGCAAAGCACTGATCAATCCCACCTCCCTCCATTCCCCCCCCCCCAGCTTTGTGCTGTTTGGGCTGCTGCTGTTTAAAAGGATGGATATGCACTTTTCATTTTGCAAGCGCAGGGTTATGTTAAACTTTTCTCCATGAACGTTTTTCCCCCTCAGCTATTGATTACGATGTGCCTTTAAACAAGGCATAATGTCTAAAACAGTAACACAAAAACAAAACCAAAAAACATGTCAGTACATTCTGTTCCTTCCAGATACTGCATCTTATTTAGCGTACCGGAATTCCCAGTTTAAAGTAATCACAAAATTTATGGAGAAACGGATAAAAAAGGTTGTAAAATATCGATTTGGGGAAAATAATAACACAACTCATCTATAATAAGAAGAAAAATGAAGCAATAATTCAGGGGGTATCGAGCGGCTTGCTGCTGGGAGTATTGATCCATCCGGTCCTTCGCGGCATCTGATCGCACCTGAGATTGCTCTGAAAGAAAGAACAGCATTCCTTCGCTCATTATTTCTCAGATACTATCGCCTTGTTACATGGTTCCTGCAGAGCTGGGATTGTTGTGGCTGGGAGAGTGGACATGCAGTAATATATATAAATAAATAAATAAA